AGGTTATAAATAACCTAAATTTTTAACAAGGTCAATAAAACAGAATTTTGATAACATCAAAAGTTACAAATATTATTTCTACAATAGTAAAAAATAAGTAATAGTGACATTAATAAAAAAAAAATTATAATGACTTTCAATAATAGTTCATAACTATTACAGTATATTAATTTAGAATATTTTTTTGTTTAAAAAGTTTTAAGAATTTCAAAAGTCTTTAGAATAAAAATAAAAGTATTTTTTCTTTTACAGTTTCATCGATGTTTGTTCATATTAAAAGATTTTGTTATTTTAAATGGAAATTCATTGTTTTAAGTTTTTATAAATTTATAATTTATATTAATTACATAATTAATTAATTTTATCAAGTTTAAGATTACAATGGGAAATAACCAATACTGTGAAATATTATAAAGTATTTAACCAAATTGCTACATCAATGAATCAAAATTTTCAAAAAAATTTGCGCTAAAAAGTTGGTTGTTATCACAATTTAACTTCATGCTTACCTAAAAAGGCTAGATTATAACTCTTCTTTGTAAAGGTAAAACCAGTGACAAATCGTAACTCCAAGGTCGTACTGACATAAAATTTTCATGATTTCTAAATGGAAATAATGTAAAACCTTTTTTGTACAATAAAATGATTAACAATTATATATTTTTCTATAAATATTGAAAATGAAGGCTCCATTTTTAATTCAAAAATGTTTTGAAGCTTTGGAGCCAAGTATCGAGTTTTGTCGGTGCTGCATACGCCACAGAAAAGACGGCAAGAATGGGAACTATTCGATAAAATTACAAAAAATGATTTGAAGTTATAAGAACTCTATTACTTCTTTTATATTAATTTAAGTAAATTATTAACTCACCTATTATTTTATGACTCATAGTTGACCATTGTAGTCATCCAACAGAAGTCATCGTCAAAAAATTTTCAAAAACTTATCCTTTATAACTTGTTAAAATAGATGTCGGTTAACCATTCAAAGATGAATTTCAAGTTACTCTGTTTTTAATATTATTTAACGTGGTAACGCGACGGCATGTAAAAGTTTATTTAATACTGTAGAAAAATTCTTTTAGATCACTTTTATAACAATATTATTATATTCACAAACAGAAATTAAGTTATTTAAAACAATCCAAAATTCACATACCTCTGAAAAACTTCCTACCAAAAGCCACAGTGCTGTACGCGATGTTCAACTATTGCGCAGGCGCGTTTATAAAGGCGGTGAAAAAGTTTTTTATTGCTTGTTTGTAATGTTTTTTTTAGCCATGGAATTATTTTGCCATATTTTCATAATATAAGCAATTTTTTTTTATATTATTGAGTTTGACTATTGCTGAACCATTTTTTATTGTTTATTCAATGTAAATTTAAATTTTAAGTTTAAATTGCTTATCCGCCAAATATATTTGGGCCCTGAAAGATTTTTTTAATTTTAATTTTTTTTTTTTTTTTTTGTATTATTTAATATATATTTACATATTTCTTTTTTATTATTAATCACAAATCAGATTTTAATGAAAGCTGTTTATATGTTATTTTTTATTAATTTATTTTTAATTTTAAAAAAACTCTTTAACATATAATTCTTTATTTTTTTAATAGTTATTATAATTAATTTATCGTGGGTAGAATTACAAAAGTTTTTATTTTTGTTTGGATCAGCTGTTCATTTTGTCCATGACGCTTTTATGAGTTTGCTGTCCTTACATTATTAAATATGGAATATTTTAACTGTTAACTTATAATTAAATATTGTATTAACTGTATTTAATGAAGAAAACTATTGAAGTTAATAATTTATCGAAATTTTATACGTTTTAAATTAGTGTTTTTAGTGAACAAAAAATTTTTAAATGTAATTTAAATTAAATATCAAGAATACACGTAAGAGTATAAACAACAGATTTTTTTTTTCCGTAGGTTCAAGGTAACTGCTCAGGGTTATTTTAAATTTTTTTTGTTTACTTATTAATTAGATTTGTAAAGAAAGAAATACATATAAAAATGTATTAAAAATTATATGCTTATTCACTAATTATTAATAAAATAAGAATTATTTATTTATTTATAACGTAATTATTAAAATACTATATTTAAAGTAATATTATAAAATAATTAAATGATTTTTTTTTTTTTTTTTTGAAGAATTACATAAAATCAATTAATAATAAAATAATAATTTTAATAAAAATATAATTTAGTTAATTATTTAAAAAAAAAAAAAAAAAAAAATTTTTTTAAATTTACTTTTTATTTATAGGCTAAATTAAGTTTTTAAAATGGGGGGAGCAGTTAGTGCTGGTGCTGATAATGATGAACTTATTGATAATTTATTGGAAGCTGATTATATCACAAGCTCAGAAGTGGAAAAAGTTTTCAGGGCTGTTGACAGAGCTCATTATTTTAGTGCCGAGTATAAACAGAGAGCATACAGTGATTTAGCATGGAAATGTGGTAACCTGCATATTTCAGCTCCTTGTATTTACAGCAGAGTTATGGAAAGTTTAAAGTTGGGTCCTGGAATGAGTTTTTTGAATTTGGGTTCAGGCACTGGTTACTTAAGTACAATGGCAGGATTACTTTTAGGTAAAATTAAAGTTTGAAATTTTTTCATTTTTTGGCACAAATAAAATTTTCCCCTATGCCTCAATTAAACTCATTCTTTTATGTAGGTTCCTATGGTGTTAATCATGGAATAGAAATTCATGAAGATGTTTTAAATTATTCCACCAATAAGCTTAATGAATTTATTTTAACTTCAAGTGCAATAGATGAATATGAGTTTTGCGAGCCAAAATTTGTAAATGGTAATTGTTTATACCTTGGTAATTGTGCTCGTCAGTATGACAGAGTGTACTGCGGTGCAGCTTGTCCAGAAAATCAAGAAAATTATATGAAAAACTTAATTAAAGTTGGAGGTATATTAGTAATGCCAATTAACGATCAGTTATTGCAAATATACAGAAAATCTGATGTTAACTGGGAGTCCAAAGCTGTTTTACCTGTTTCTTTTGCATCATTAATATCTGGCAAGATCTCAGAATGTTATGAACCTTTAAAAATGCGTACGTTTCAAAAATACTATAAATTAACATGTATGTTTTTTTTTTTTTTTATAAAAACATTATGTTTTCACATGTTTAGTATTTTTGTTTTTGCAGCAAGTACAGACCCTATGTCTCTTCAAGACATTTGTCGCTTTACTGTACGTTCTATCTTAAGACGCAATATAGATATTGAACATCCAGAATTGAAAGAACCGCCAAAAGTGCCAAGAAAACGTGCGAAAAAAAAAAATATACGTCGATTAGTAATTCCGATTTTTAGTGGAAGTTCTGAAGGTGAAGAAGATCAGGATGTTCACCAAGCCACAACATCACTTAATGATGCTCAACAATTTTTAATGAATGTAAATACTGCTCAAACATGCAGATCTTTAGTGGAATGGAGTCAATTACTACAAGATACATCAGCCCAATTGCTTGATACTATCGAAAATAGATGTGCAGCTGATTCTAGTCTAGAAAATGATTTATTTACAGAAACTGAAAATAAAAGTGAAGTAATGGAGGAAGATTCTGATATTGTTTTACCTGAAGAAAATTCAAATGGTAATATTCTTGAAGAAATGTCAGATGAAGAATTTCTATCTGACATTGAGGAATTGCAGAATATATTTACAGAGACAGAAGAATCAGAAAGAGTTTTGAATGTATCAAACAAACGTATAAGTCGTAAAAAAGAACGTTTTGTTGAATCAGCTCATGAAATGGAAGATAAACAAACAGTTTGTAAATCGAGAAGAGAAAAAATTGACAGTGGTATAGTAGATGATATTGAAACATGTAAAGCTAGCACAGATTCCGAACAGGAAGACTTTGCTGAAATGTCTCACGATGTGATTTTTAAACCAGGATATCAGTGCCTCTTTGAAGGTTCATACCCTTTTTGAAAGACACTGATTTAAAGACTGAAACTATAAAATCTCAATCTGATATAGAAAATGTAGAAACACCAAATAATAATACTAGTGTTGTGCAAGTTATCAATTATACTACTTATATGAAGGAAAAAATTAAAATGTTACCATTACCAATGACTTTGAAATATTATTTAAATTTAAATAGAGAATTTTAAGTGGGTCTTCAATTAAACTTTGACCTTTTTTATGTATTAATTGGTGCTGTTAAAAAAAAAACAAAAAAAAATTAGTTAAAAGTACATTATGAATCACATAATTTTTAGGTACTCTTATAATCCGGTTGGGTAATTTTTAAGTTAGCAAAATTAAAAACACATTATCGATATTTGCCAGTTATTATTTAGATTCTCGCAAAATATTTTTGGTGCAATTTGAATAGAATTACCTTAAAATGAAAAATGTGATGTTTCATTTGTGTAAATTTAGATTTTAGAAAAACATAATGGCTGTTATCAGTAAATTTAAAAAGGTAAAAACTATAGTGAATTTAACAATAATAATAATACATATTGATATAAAAATAATCAATCGTTTTTTATGTCTTACGATTAATTTGTTTTTAAAAGCGTATATATATATATATTTTTATTTTGGGAGAAATATATATCGGATATTAAATTTAATTAAAATATATAATAATATAATGACTTGAATTTAATTTTACAGGTGATGATTATATACATAATTTAGTTAGATTTTAAAATGATTATATTGGAAAATTATTTTAGTATTCACATTAAAAATATTATTCATATATTATTATTATTATTATTATATCATTTATTAAAAATATTTTATATTTTAATTTATTTTGAAAATTTATAAAAATTTAATTAAAAACTGATTTTTTTTTTTTTTTATGTTTTTGTAATAATAAAATTACAAGTTGTGTCATTTTTATTTTAATACATATAAATAATCTTAATTGTTATTGTTTTATATTTTAAACCTTAAGTTTTTAAATGAAGTTCGAAAAAAAAAAAAAAATTCACTTCACTTTGGTACTTGGAAATAAATGTTTTTAAAATAAAAGAAATTTAAATTATCTTCTCTTAAAACCATATTTCTTTCTTTCATAAAATAAGTCCGTTTTAGAACTTCCTAAATTAACAATTTTAGGGCAACCATCTCTATCTTTTTCTTGTATGGTACATTCTTTACAATAGTAAGCATCCGAAACTCCGGGCCCCCCACAAATAACGCATCTTCCTTGATATGACCCATAATTACATTCGTCACAAATACGAACTAAGGTACAGGGCCTTACATACGAATCACATATAACACATTTACCATCACATTTTTCACAAAGCCTTCCAATAGCTGAAAATGTAATAATGCATATTGAAAAAAAAAAAAAAACAAAGACAATAAATTAAAATATACTTGCACAGTTTTCGTACCTACTCCAGGCTGTTTTCGACAAAAAATCAAATCCGGATGATGTTTTGCCATAGTTTTTTTTTTTTTTTTTTTAAAAAAATTATAAAAATAAAACTAAGTTGTAAACTATAACTGAATTTAACTAGCGTTACAAAAATAATGTTTTTTCTTTCTGATGTTGGTATTGAGTGTATTAAAAATATTATTGAGTTTTCAAAGTTGGTATTTTTATTATCATCTGAAAAAATGTCTGCTAAACCTGTTCAAGAAGTTGTAAAAAAGGTTAAACCTCTTTTATCTCTTGATAATGTCGAAGCTCGAAGAAGAGTTATTATGTTGTATAAAGCATGGTATCGTGCAGCTCCTGAAATAGGTAAAATAGTAATATTTATGTTAGATCTTTATTCCATTTTTAATAACTTTTCTTTCATTTCTAGCTGTGACATTTAGATTGCCTATAAGTTTTGAGCAAGTTAGGAAAAAAATCAAAGAAGAATTTATGAAAAATAAAAATGTGACAGACGTGCGAGTTATTGATTTATTAGTTATCAAGGGGCAAATGGAATTAAAAGAAACTGTCAAAATATGGAAACAAACAAATCATGTTATGTATTATATGAAAGATACTAATCTACCAAAACCTACTAATTTCATTTCTAAATTTCTACAAGGTTCTGATTAAAATTTTTTATATTAAAAACAAGTAATTCATTGTAATATTTACTTAAAATTTGTAGTTTATTACTAGACATTGATTGAATTAGTATGACAATTTTCTTTTTCATAAATTTTTCAAAATTTTATATAAGATCGTTTCACAATAATAATAATTTTTATTTTTATCGAACATCATTATTTTTGTGTCGTTAATTTATTTTTATATGACAGCATTATGATTAACTATAACTTCTAATTTTGAATTCTATTTATGATAAAATATGTTGCAAAGATAATTATAAAATATACAATATTTAATTTTAATAGTAAAATAATATATTTTTCTCCTCTTAGTCATTTGTAATTTTAATTTTAAATTGAAAAAAAAAAAAAAGAGAATTCTCGTACGAAATAATTTGGTTTTGTTTATTAAAAAAATGTTTTTATCATTACATTTAAAATTTTCAATATTTATTTTTAATTTAAAAAGAAAGTCATTTAATTCTTTGTTAATTAGGTCAAAAAAGCAGTAAGCAAAAAATAAGTAAATTAAAAATACTGATTATATATTTTAGTATTTTTTTTTTTAGTTTAACGTGTAATATTCAATGAAATTTGCATTAGAAGTTACTAGTTTATGTTAATATTTCTTTTAGGTTATATATATATATACATACATGTAAAAAAAAAGGTTTAAAGGTATAATTTACATTAAACCTTTTGATAAAATTTTTTTTTTTTCTAAATTCCTGTTTTAATGTTTATTCGGTTTCATTACATAAGAGATGCTGGTGGAAGAGTGACTGCTCCGTGTCCAGAAAGTGGAACTGGGAGTACTGTTAATCCTTTTACCCAAGTTTTCCTTTCGCAACAGAAGCATTCTACATCATTTAAAGCTCTTAAATATGCTGTTGTAACACCTCCAATAATTAAAATTTGTGTTCCTGCAAAATATATACTTATGGATTTCATTTGTACGATTTGACTTTGCAAAGCATCGATTAAGAAGAAGGTTTTTTACCCAAATAAGCTACTGCGTGACCGTGACGTGGTATTGACATAGCAAAATGCAATTTCCATTCTTTTTCTTTTAGATTCCATATATCGATTGCGTTACAGCTTGATGTGGTTCTTTCTTTTTCTGACACTCTACCTGCACCACCAATGTAATATAACGTGTCATTCATTGCAAAAAGGCATCCGAAGCATCGTGGAAAGCGCAAACTTGATTGTTCTACCCAACTGTTATTTAAACAATTTTTTTTTTTTTCCACTCATAAAAATATTTAAATATGCGTTAGAAATAATATTAATGTGACTTACGTATTATATTTTGGATCGTAACTTTCTACCGAAGAAGTCAAAGGAGTTTTTCTAGAGCTTGTCATTCCACCAGCAATCCAAACCGTATCTTTGTATTTTGCGACAGCAACTCCGGTTCTCTCGACGTTTAAACTTGTTATATATTCCCAGTTTCCAGTTAAAGGATCGTATTTTTCCACCGAGGATAATATTCTGTACAATATTGAAGAAGTAATTCAAAATAAGTAATATTGATATGAATGGATGTTTTGAAAAATAACAATTTTTATGTAGCACCTGCCATGTTTATCTTGGCCACCTATAGCCAATAATTTTCCTTTAACAGATGATAATCCAAAGTTTTTTCTGGGAGTCAACATATCGGTTTCTTTAAACCATGCTCTAGATATTGGATCGAAACTCCAAACCGTACCCACCACGACCGTTCTGCCTTGTTCGTCATCTCTTGGATCAGTACCTCCTGCCAAATAAACTTTTCCCTTAAGAAAGGCCACTGCGTGATGATGACGTGGTTGCGGAAGTTCTCCAACCAAATCCCATTGATTCAATTCTGAAATGTGTGTAATAATTTTTCTCCCATTGATAGTTTTTTTATATAAATTTTACGACTTACCTGAATTATATCGAAAAATATTTCTTCCTGTATTTCTACCATCCCCATATTTACTGTGAGGATCTATACCACCAAAAACCAATACAGATTCTCTTTCGGAAAAAAATAAACTTCCTTCTTTCAAATAATCTTTTAATAATAAAGAGTGATCGTACTGACTAAAATATACATATATACACACACATATATAACCGAAATCATAAAAATAAAATGTATATAAAAAAAAAAAAAAAAAATTTAATTTTCTTACTTGGAAAAATTATTATGTAATTTATTAACTGAAGATTCCGATGATGAATACGTTAATTCGTTATAATAAACGGAATCCGATTTTTGTTTGGTATAAGTTTCGACGCGACATCCTTTTATCCTTTTAACGGATAAAAATTTTCTAAAAACACGTTGAATTAATATGGCGGCTTCTTTTTCGGTTTTATTTTTTTTCCTTTTTATAAAATCATTCATAAATTTATCATTTTTTATCATAGGATGATTCATTGTCGAAGGTGGGAGTTTAATTGGAGAATTTTCATTTTTAATGACTGGAAAATTAGTTAATGCGGGAAAAGTCGTCGGAATGATTTTATGTTGTATCGATAATTTTTCAATTGATTTTTTTTTATGGACTTCCGACGTGGAATCAATTTTATTAAACCATTGATTCGTCGTGTAATTATCTGATTTTTTTTTCGTCGTATTCGCATTCCATATGGTCGGAGGAGGTTGTGGTAACATTTTAAAATTATCTTTTCCTTGTTTTACCTGAAACAAAAAAAAAAGAACATAATGTTTAATAGATTGATAATTAATTTAATACCGGATAAAGGTAAAAAACAAGCATGGTAAGTGCACCATTATTAACCAGTAAAAGACATTTTTTTTTAACCGTCGTCGTAATGAAACGACGGTTTTTTATTTAAAACCAGTTACACTTACCATGCACTTATCATACTATGTTCTTACCTGAAACAGGTATTTATTATTCTGCATACATTTCTACTGTTTTATTATTTTTTTTTTTTTTTTTGTATTGAATTTCGTCAAAAGTTTCCCTGAATAACAAAAGAGTAATTTTTAAAAATTAACTTTATTCTTCCCCTTTTTCAAGTTTATTTATGTATTTATTACGTTATTAGATATTCATGTATATATTACCTTGAAAATGGGAAATAACAAGTCATTTATTTATTTATTTTTTTGGTTATCTTCGTGAAATTAAACATTAATTCATTTAATAAAATAAAAATTTTACGTCACATCGGTCAAAAAAAGATAAAGAGCAATACATAATTTTTTGAAAAAAAAAAAAAAAAAAAAACCGTTAAAATTCGAATGTGGACAACTTTTGTAAAAAATTTTTTTTAAATTAATATTTTAATAGTTTTTAATAATTGGAATAATGAAAAAAATTTAAATAAAAAAAATTAATAATAAATTTGTTAAACATGAAAACTTTTTTTAAAATTTAATAAATAAAAACTTAAAAAAAAAATTAAAAAAAAAAATTAAAAAAAAAAAATGGTATAAAATTGACTATAAAATATATATGTATGTAAATAATTATAAAATAATTTTGGGTCGATTTGTTTGTTTGTTTGTTTGTTGTTTGTTTGTATCACGGATTAAATAAACAAAATTTCATTTGATTTTTAAATTCAGAATTAAGTTAATCGTGCCTTTTCACTCACAATTTCACTCCTCATCGTATCTCCTAGTGCAACTTCAACTCTAGCCGATTTACCGGAAATAGGATTCGATTGTTTTCTCGATGACGGTCTTCTTTCCGGTTGCGATGGTTGTATCGAATCTCTAGGACTCGTCGTCAAACCCGATTGATCGTTATTTCTTTTACTTTTTGTCGATTGTGTATCTCTTTTCGTACGAGATTTTTCTTTTTCGTTATATAATTCTTTTCTATATTGTTCGAGATCGTGTAGAAATTCTCTATACGTCACGTAATTCTACAAAAAAAAAAAAATTTCCTTTAATTCCAAATTTATTCCAAAAAAAAAAAAAAGAAAAACATTTTTTTAAAGAAAATTTTTTACCTTTTCGTCACCTGCCCAATTTCTACTCGGTGGTTCGGATAAACCTAAAAGATCTATCCAATGATAATAATCACCCGTTTGATTACCGTACCAATATTTAATAATAGCATACCTGAAACGTACAAAAAAAATTTTTTTTTCATTCTGTTTATTTAAATAAATAATAATAATAATGTTAATGATAAACGTACGCTAAACCGTTGTCAATCATTTGTTGAACTCCCGGATGTGATGTTATTTCTAAAAATTCAGGATTTTCAGGATTCCTTCTAATATCAACTAATTGCCAAGGAGCTATGAGACCGAATCTTACGCATGACATAACCTGTTCTAAACATTCTTTTCTTTCTTTCCAATCGTGCCATAACCATCGTACAGCCGACATAAAAACTTCTATTTCGCTAAAATATTATTTTTAATATTATTTCGCGAAAGACATTTTTTTTTTTTTTCGTTATTAAATTACAAAAAAAAAAAATTGACCTGTGAACTGATATGTAGTTGGATGAGAGAAGTACGAAAACTTCATCCAATTGTAATTCCAAATAATCTTTCGAACTGACCAATGTAAGAAAAAATTTCATTATTCTAGGTATCATGAGTTCCATAATTGCGGAAATTCCAAATTTTTTCGCTTCCAGATATAATATAAAAGCTGTATCTTCGGTAAATAAATCTTCGCAATCGACAAACGCCCAACATTGTTCTTCGAGTTCTGAACATAAGAACGAATTTTAGCATTCAAAAAAAGAAAATTTGTAATAAAGTAAAAAAGAAAGTTGTTTGTTTGTTTGTTTGTTTGTTTGTCTGTTTGTTTCACCTTTTATTCCTAAAAACTGTGCGGCCAAAAAAACTTCTAATATATTATCTCTTTTTAATATTGTGTAACTATCACCGTGAACGTATGTCATCCATTCGTAAATCAATTCGAATGCTTTGGGTGATACGTTGGCAGCCGGAAGTTTGACGACATCTTTTGATGTTTTCTCATTGAAATATGCCGAATAACACTGAAGTACCAACAAATGACAATTAAATTGCACATCTTCTATTTGTACCAAACAATCTGGATTCACATAATTCGTAATCCTATAGTGCATATGTTTATAAAGATTCGTTTTTTGTGGTAATTTTATTTTGTTCCAATCGATCGGAACGGAACTCGTAAATCCTAATCTACAATTAACAAAAAAAATTATAACATTTTTAATATTTTCCTAAAAAGATCATTTGTTGTAATTATAAAATTACTTTATTAAATTAATTTCCGGTTTTGGTGATTCGTCGGATTCTATGGATCTTCCATCTTCCTGTTCTCTATCGTCATTATTTTCATCTAGTACGAATGAACTGAGAACATCATTTATTTGATTTGGTGTTTTTATTTTATTTTGTTCGGACATTGATAAATTCGAGGCCATTCCAGGCTTTAAATAAAAAAAATTTTAGAGAGAAAGGGTGGGAGAGGGAGGAGGGATGGGAATGATGAGGGAATGAGAAAAAATTTTCAACGCACCAAAATTTGATTCAAAGCAGCTCCTCGTCCTTCACCCATTAAAGTAAGAGCATTTAATATTTGATGTTTTTTAGCATCACTTTCCATAATTGGAAGAATCCCTTTTTCCGATAAAGCAGAAGAAATTTGAGTATTTAATGCTTGATTAGCTAATTCAGCTTTGACATTAACTCTCGTGTGTCTCGGATCTGCAACCAATACACTAACCTTCTTCGATTCAAAAACGACCTTAGGCAGTGAAATTAAAAGACAATAACATCTATTGATCGATTCATTTAATTAATTAATTAAATTAAATAATAATTAAATTAAATTAAATAAATAATAAGACATACTACATACTTGTTGAGGTACAACTTTTAAATTACCACTTGGCGTTGGTTGAAATGGGAAAACTCGATTGTCAAAAGTTTGAGATGGGGAACCTTCGTTAAATTGATTATTTTCTATTTGGATATTTTGTCGACTGAAAATTTTTAATTAAATTATTATTAATTACAACAAAAAAAAGAGACTCGTTAATTAATTAATTAATTAATTAATTTACCTATTTGCCATACTCCAGGGCATGCGACCGTTAGAATCGTGGCATTTTTGCCAGATTCCATAAAAATTTGTTTTCGTTGATGCACCAGGTATAAAAAGTTCTGAACGTGCGTCAATAAGAGAAACAGGGGGGGTTTTCCTTTCAAATATTATTTCAACCGGATTATTATTATTATTATTAGTATTATTATTACTAAATTTTGTTTTTAATTTCTCTTTTTTTGACGGATCTAAAACTACAGCCGAAAAAAAAAATTCTATTTAGTAAATAATAATAATAAATTTGTTGCTGTTGTCATTGATGTCTCCTCAACGTACATTTTTCATTTACAATTTCAGATGATTTAAATTTTCTTATATTATTATTATTATTATTATTGAAAATTCCACTTATGCTGTTGGTTTCGTTTGAATTTTTCCTATGTGATTCTTCAGCCTCGGAATGGCAAAATGGACAGGAACAGTTCGAATAATCTTTTTCAATTTCCGGTGAGATTTTCCTTCAAATCAAAAAAACATTTAAAAAATTATTATTATTATTATTATTTTTCGAAATTTAATTTTTAATAATTTAATATTTTCACCTCATTAATTATTTCCTTCTAATCGCTAGAGGAAATCAATCAATCAATCAATCAATCACATTAATAAACAACATTAATGTGAATTTAAATTCATTTTCAATTTCTCCTGTAACGTATTTACAATTTGAAAAAAAAAATCAATAATAATAATAATAATAATAATTTAAAAAATGTTTTATATCGAACGTTCTTGATAATAATAATAATAAAAATAATAATATATAAAATGGTGATAAATAATGTAAATAAATAAATAACAAACCGTATTGTTTTTTTTTTCTTTCTTTCTTTTTTTTTTTTATAAAAAAACAAATTTTTTTAAAATTCTGATGAGAATAATAATAATAAATAAATAAATAAATAAATAATAAATAATAATAAAAACTTTCGAAACGATTTAAAGTTCAATAATAATAATAATAATAACAATAATATTCTTTTTGAAAAGTATCAAGTTTTGTTTTTTTTTTTTTTTCTTTTTTTTTCTTTTATTATATTTTTATTATTATTATTCGATCACAAAATTCTTTGCCCAAAAAAAAAAAAAAAAAAAAAAAAAAATTAGAAAAAAAAATGGTAGAAAAAATTTTTCATAAATTATATAATTTGAAAACTTTTTTTTTTTTTAGAGTGAATGTAAATTTACACAAAATTAATATCGGAGTTATTATCATCACGCCATTTTATTTAGGACAACAATCGGAATGAAAATATTTTTTTTTTTGAAAAAAAAAAAAAAATTTAAAAAAATGATTTTCTTCTGTCAAAAATGGAAAGAAAAAATAATAATAATACTTGATATTAAAAGTAAATCTCGAACGAACTCCTTTTTTTTTTAATGGGGAGTCGGTGGCGGTGGTGGTGGTGGTGGTGGCGGTTGCCAAAGAAAAAAAAAACCGTTACGAAAATATTCACCCACTTTCTATAATAATAATAATAATAATAATTTTTATTATCGGTTATGAAGGTACCATATTGTTTTCTTTTTAAATTTAAATTCTAACCGCCATAATTTAAATCCTGTGGGCATGTGTGAACTAAAATCAAATTAATTATTTATTAATGTAACCATTTGACATCTTCAAGTACCACTTACATATTAATTATCATTATCATTATCATTATTATTGTTTTTAATTGATAAAACGTTTGGAAAAATTTTTTTGTTTCTTATTGGATTTACTACAACAAAAAAATTAAATTTATGTATTTTTTTTTCGTTTTTACCTTAATAAATCCTTAACTTAGAGAATAATGGTAATAATGATAATAATAATGATAATGATAATAATAATAATTGTTATACGAGGTAGAAAAACTTTAAAAAAAAAAAAAAACTTTAATTTGTTTCGCTTTTAAAATCCGGTCAAAAACTTTTTCTAATTAAAAAAAAAAAAAAAAAATCGTAATTAATTTTTAAAAAAAATTTTTTTTTGCTGTTGCTGTTGTCTTATTAAAGTTGAAAAAGTATCGTTCTGAACATTTAAACTTACCGAATTAAAAATTTATTTTCAAAAAAAAAAAAAATTTAATAAAACAGGTTTGCCACACTTGCTGCAATAAAAAAAAAAAAATTCCTTGTTTTCTTTTCGCATTATTATTATTATTATTGTTTTTATAATATACATATATTTTTTTTTTATATATGTAAAAATTAGTTTATGTATTTATAGTTTTTGTATTTTTTTTTTTTTTAGTTTTAAAACTTTAATAATATTTATTTATTTATTTATTTATTGGGACAAAACGTTGAAAAATTATAAATAATAAAAATTGGTTTATTAACGTAGTATGAATAATGATTTTGAAAATGAAATTAAAAAAGTTAAAGAAAATAAAAAGGCGACAGAATCGGAGGGTTATGAGGATGAAGGTGAAGCAATGGAAAACTCTTTTGAAGGCTCTGGAATCGAGGAAAGTTTATCGGCGGAATATTGCTTGCCTTCTATTACTCTCTCATTTAAATCAAACATTGGAGACACTCAGGCGGAATCTTCAGGTGAAAAAACGGTGGTAGACGGTGGTAGCACATACGATGAAAAAATAAAATTAACACTAAAAGAAAAATGGATGAATTTAACGGGTCGAAAACCCAAAAACATACCCATTATAAGGAGACCACGTGAAAAAATTGAATTTTTCGGCGATACGAGACCCGCACAAATAGAAAAGGAAAGAAATAAAAAATGGATGAAATTAATCGCGGATAGCGCGTATAAACAAAATCAAATTAATTACGGCACTGTTTTCAGCGAGAAAAGAGTTCCATACGAATTGGGGGGTCTTTGGTCTGTAGCACTTCATCCAAATTTGGAAAATTTAACGACGGGTTTTCAATTCGGTGGAGTTCAGGTTTTTCTTTCTCCTTTTTTTTTTTTTTTAACGGAAAATTTTAAATGAAAATTTTTTGTAATAATTTTTACACGTGCAGGTAAGAGATTTTACAACGTTTGAAAAAATATGGTCTTTAAAAACTTTAGAATCAGTTGATATATTACCGATAAGAACGATAAAACATTTACCAGCGGACTATAATAAGCTGTACCTTGCTGGAGCATGTGGTATAATACAAATATTCGATTTAAGAACTGGATTAAGCGTCGATTCCAGCGAGAGTGAGTTAAAAATTTCATTTTTTTTTTGTTTCTCTCCAGACACGTGTGCGAAATATTAATTTATAAAATTTTCCAAAAATTTTTCTTTTTTTTTCGTACCTTTTATTATTTCCAGATATCGAAACTCAAATAAACGATATTGATTTTTCCAGTAATTTAAATTATTTAGCATCGGGTGGTAAAAATGGTTCCGTATGCATTTTTGATTCCCTCACCCTAAAGGTAACTTTTTTTTTTTATATCAAAATTACATATTATTCATTCGTTAATGACTACTTTTCCTTTTATAAAAAGGTTGTGAGTAAAAAAATAAAACCGGAAATAAGTTCTCCAAAAGCTACAATATCGACTATCGATTATCCACCCTTACAAATATTTGCAATTAAATGTCACCCGAAAGAAGAAAGTATTTTTTTAACCGGAGGATGGGATAGATTTATCAGAGTAATTATTAAATATATTTCCACGTTACCCCCCCCCCCCGTATCCCATACCTTTAATTTTTTTTGAACGACGTTAATAAAAACTTTTTCAGGTTTGGGACGTGAGAGTTCCAGATTCGATTTTTAATATACCCGGTCCGTTTATTTGTGGTCAAGGTCTTGATATACACGTAAGTTTTAATTAATTTTCTTCCACTCGCCCCCCCCCCTCCCCCCGACGAACTTTAAGTTAAAAAAAAAAATTTTTTTTTTTTTTACCTGAAAGGATAATACGATATTAACGGGTTCATGGGTATGCGAAAACAGCGTACAACTTTGGGATTTTTCATCCCGGAAATTAATAAAAAACGTACCTATACAAACAACCGCGACAAAATACGATGGCGAATTCATATACGTGGCAAAATTTTTTAAAAATGCGACAAACGGTCACATATCCGATCCGGATTTAATTGTCGTCGGCGGAAGTGGTTACAACGAAGTAAACGTTTTAAAATCATCGACGGGTACTGTAAGTATTATTATTATTATTATTATTAATCACAAACAAACACTTTCATCTTGCTTATTAGGTTTATTTTTATTTTTTCAGGTATTGGCTTCTTATCCTTCGTACAAAACGGTTTTCTGTTTAGATTCCCAAGGTGGTTTTGTTTTATACGGTGGAAAAGAATCATTAGTAAGATTGGGACAAATCAATTTGCCAAAAAAATATTAAATAAATAAATAAAATAAATAAAATATTTAATAAATTTTTTCCACTTCATCGTGGTGTTTTGTTACAATCATCATCATCATTAAATAAAATCAAAAAAAAATAATAATAATGATAGTAAAAAATCTGCGGGAAGAGGGAAGAGAAGGGGGAGGAGGGAAAACAAGCACGTAATAAGAGTATATATAATCTGTAAGAAATGAATTTCAAATGAGATGGAAACTGCTGGAAGAGCTGAATCGATCGCAGCACGACCTCGACCCACACAAAATCCAGTAGCCTAATCGATGAAAGAAGACACATTTCACCTTTACCATTTCTTTTTGTTGTTGTTGTTGTTGTTCAGTAAGGGAAATTTATTTTAAAAAAAAACATAACCGACAACTTATTTTAATTATTATTATTATTATTTATAAAGGAAATTATTTGGGTAAATGAAATATGTTTTAAAATGTAAATCTAACGAGGAGGAAGTGAGAGAGAAAACCTTTTTTTTATTTGATGGGGGGTTGAGAGGGTTTGGGGAAAAAAAAACTTGATTAAAAGATTTCACTCGTTTTATCATAACGAATTTTAACGGTTTTTTTTTTTTAAAACAAACAAAATCCGCGACGAATATTAATAATAATGATAATAAAGTTTTTTTTTAATAAATTCGTTGTTGTTGTTGTTGTTGCGTGCAATCGGTTGATTACGTATTATAATAATAATAATAATAATATCAACGATTAATAATTTACGTATTTATTAACAACCGGAAATAATGTACGGATGATGATGATGATGATGATGATGATATAATAAATAATAAAAAAAAAATTTTTAATAAAAAAAAAAAAAGTGGGTTACGCGTTCGTGTAGTCGACAAAAAAAATTTTTTTAAAATACACGAGTTGTAAAAAAAAAAAAAGAAAAAAAAGAAAATGAAAATAAGTTTTTTGGAATCGATAAAGCTGACATCGCAGGAGCAGAACAGACGAACACACACACACACACACCAGCTGGGATATTCAGCATTGCTGACTTTTCCCTCCCCCGCACTCATTCAATTCTCTCTCTCTTTACTTTCATTTTTTTTTTGCAAAAAAAAAAAAAAAATTTTTTTTTTTTTTCATTTTTTTCAATCCGCGTATTATTATCATCATCGTTATCATTTTTCTTATCCTTATCCTTTCCCCCCTCCCCGTCCTGCCTCCCCCGAAAGAAAAAAAAAATTATAAATTTTCACTGTGAAAAAAAATATTTTTTTTTTTCCCCAGGTGAATATTTAAATCTAATCCTACGTAACCAATCATTTGGGAAATTAAATAAAAAAAAAAAAAAAGGAAAACCGTATCGACGTTTTTATTTTATCCACACCCCCCATCCCCACCTCCCCCCTTAAATTTTTTTTAACGATTAAACCGGATACGATTTATATTTTATTATTATTATTATTATTATTATTATTATTATTATTATTATTATCGTTACTTTAAAAAAAAAAAAAAGAAAAATTTTCTTCGTGATTTTCACGGGGTCGTTAATTATTATTTTGACCCCGTTCCATGAATTTGAAGTTAAGTAGTGATAATAATAATAATAATAATAATAATAATAATAGATGATAATAATAATAATAATAAATAATAATAATATTAATAAGATGAAAAGGAAAAAAAAATTTTTTTTTGGTATTTTTTTGTTTCGTTGTCCGTTATGAAAGAGAAAGATGAACCTTGACATTTAAAACGTTCTGGAAGTGAAATGATCCAGTTGAAGAGAGTAGGCGTTAAAAAAATTTTCCAGAAAAATTTTCCAATAAAAAAAAAGGAAAATTTTAAATCACTAAACGATGATGATGACGATGATTGTTTTATTTATTAAAAAAAAAAAAAAATTCAATTTGGAGATTAAATTTTCTCCTTCA